GTCGGTCTAGAAATTAGCCAAAGTGGGTCATACGTCCCACATAAAAATTGAAATTGAGTCATTTCAAAAATGGTCTGGGTCAAACTCTGATACTGAAACTTTTGAAAAACTGACCTCATCCAAACTATCACCAACTGGTACATCAAATGTTTTATGCTTTTAACAGTTTTGATTTGTTTATTGCAGTAAACAATCAAATAATCGTTAAGTTTTCTTCAACTGCCATTCTCTTTTGCGTAAAAAATAAACTCAGCTTTTGTTGTCGTTTCATAATGAGACCAAACAAACAAAGCCTGGGAACAAAGTTAACAAACGAAGCATGAATCGATCGGAAAAGCAACGAACGTATGCAGGACGTCGAGATGTAGGACCCAATCTCTCTCAAAATTGCATGGAACGCCTGTAACAATAAGCACTCGTACGCACGTAGTATGAAATGCCAGTCATTTCGCGCACTGATTTCGGGCTAGTAACGTCTTTTTAATTTACTTTTATAATTTCCCTCTGCTTTAAAATTAAAGTACCTAATATATATGGGATACTTGTACTTCTTTTTTTGTTGTTTTTTTTGTTTTTGTTTTTGTTTTTTTTTGCGCTAGTATGACTCCACGATCATTTCATTTTGCGTCAGAATAGAATATTTATCTTTAAGTTTAAGTTCTCATTCAAGTTGATTGTATGAAGTCTAGCTTCGAACTGAAATGACCAAGCGAGCCATGTTGTAGATCAAGCGTCTTAATTTATTCACAATGCCCTTTCAAGTTACATGTAAATGAGGCTAGTCGATGATTAACATCACATCTCCCGCCTTAATCGAAAATTATCAACTTCTTGAAAAATACATGATGCTAACTGGAACATAATTAACAGGAACATAAACAAGGAAACAAAACAAAAGTAAAAGAAAAGAAAACAAAGAAAACTCTGTCATTAGTTGTCGCTCTCTACAAATCGGGTCTCATAGGTGGTCTTATGATTCTTCCAGATCTGGTGCGCACAGCATTATCTGGTTCCGGCCGGTCGAGTCTTTATGGCACTGGGAAAGCTGGTTCCATTTCCGGGTTGCTGATATCGTCATCGGGCTTGTTCTTTTCGTTTGACATGGGCTGGAAGTAAGGCAGAAGGGCTGACCTGTTTCTCCGTAAGAGGTTGCCTGAAGTCTCTACTGTGTAGGAGCACGGCTGATCCGACTGCTGGACCCTGACTAGGCCAGGCTTTTTTTCACCTTGGACCCACACTCTATCGCCGGGCCGTAGCGTGTGTAACTCCTTGACTCCGTGTCGTGCATCGTAATACTGTTTTTGCTTGATTTTCCTTTCACTTTCCTCTCGCTTCCAGTTCTCTATTCCTGGCCAGCTCAGTTCGAGAGACGTTATGACGCAAGGAAGGGTGCATCGAATCTGGCGGCCGAATAGTAGCTCAGACGGGCTCTTTCCACCTTGTAAGGGTGTGGATCGATAAGCAAAAAAGGCTTCCGCAGGGTCACTCTCCTTCTGCAGCAAGTTCTTCGCTGTTTGAACAGCTCGTTCCGCCTCCCCGTTGGATTGGGCATAAAGGGGACTACTGGTAACATGTTTGAATTCCCAGTCTTTGGCAAATTTGGCAAACTTCGCCGAGTCGTACTGGGGACCGTTGTCCGAGCGCACCACCTCCAGTATACCATGTCTTACAAACAGGGATTTAAGGGCATGTATCGTTCCAGATGAGGCGAGTGATACCAAGTAATTGACCTCGATGAACGTCGAGAAATAGTCCACCACGATCAGATAGGGGCGTTTCTTCACATAGCAGATGTCAGTGCCGATCACTTGCCACGGTCCGTCCAGGACGCTTGAAATCATGGGATCTATCTTGTGAGTTCTTCGCTCGGTACACTTGCGGCACTGCTTCATTAGGTCTCCTATTTGACGACTAAGACCTGGCCACCATAACGCTCGTTTCGCTCTTTCTCTGCACTTCGTAACGCCCTGATGGCCCTCGTGAATGCGGTCGAGCATCTCCAGTCTTAAGGAGTTGGGATGACGATTCGTTCAGCTTTGAGAAGCAATCCACAGACAACCGAAAGTTCATCCTGGACTTGCAAATAGGGTTTAAGAGCATCTGGTACTCTGTTTCGGTCTCAGGCCAGCTTGCGCTGTAGTATTGCTCCAGTTTTTGACAAACTTCGTCTTCTTGTTTTTCTTTCACTCGCTTGAGCTGTGTGTTTGAGGCTGGGAGGGAGGCAAATACATGTTGAACATATGAATCGATCTCCTCTTCAGTACTGGACTGACCATCCTGCTACTCTGCAGGTGCTCTTGATAGTGCGTCAGCAGTGATCAGGCTCTTCCTGGGAACGTGGGACACTGTAAAGGCGAATCTTAACAGGCGCATATGGAGTCGTTGGATCCGTGGTGACATTTCTTCCAAGTTCTTTGAACCAAGGATTAGAACCAGAGACTTGTGATCGGTTTCTACGTGGAACCGCTTTCCGATAAGGTAATCTGCAAATCTCTCACAA